AATGATGTCATAGTCATGTTCTTGTTTAATGAAATGATTTCATAATTTAATAAGCTGCTTAAAAGCCAACTTGATTTGTTATTTTGTTTAAGATTTGCAGTATAATTAGAGATCTGAATTATGAAATTCTTTGTAACATTTTTTTTTTCAAATTTGTATATGCCCTATTAGTTTTATTTTATTTAATTCACAATCAACAAATTTAATGACAAAGTCAACAAATTTTAACAACGTAAAAAGTATATAACTTATTGTATGATCAATAGTATAAAAGTTAACTCTAAAAAAAAAAATAGTATTATTGTGTATAGTCATGTGAGCAATAGAGTGTCCCAAAAAACAACTTTTTTTTAAAAAAAAAGTTAGCACCTTCTTAATGTGCTCTATATAATAAAATAAAACTGAAATTGAAAAGTTTTTGAAAAAAATATATTTTTAGGGGTAGCTTAAGTCTCTTAAACAACTTATGGATCCCTAATATTATCAATAAAAAAAAGTTCAAAAGTATATTATGTTGGGTTTTAAAAGTAGTAAAGTTATATAAAAATTTTAAAAATAATTATGATAAACATTGAGAAAAATTGTAATAAAATTTTTTTATAAAAGTGCATATTTTATTTTTAATTAAAAATATATTTTTTAGGCAGTGAAATTTAAAATGACAATTTTTTTAAAAAATGATGATTATTTTTGAAATTTTCATATAACTTTACTTATTTTGATACTTTTGAAGAACTTTTATTTTGATAATGTAAGGGACCCGTCAGATGTTTAAGGGACTTGAGCTACACCTAAAAATATTTTTTTAAATTCCAGTATTATTTTATTATATAGAACACATTTAGAGGTGGAAGCAGACTTTTTTTTCTAAACAAATTTTGTTGTTTGTTGAGACACTAAGTGAATAACATCAACAATTATGATGATAATGTTTTAGAAATTATTTTTACAGTTACTTAATGTTAAATTTTTTTAACTGTTCAAACTTCTTAGCATTAATTATACAATATAATTTTTACACAAAAAATTTTGATTAAAGGATATTAATAATATAACCATTTTATTTCACTGTTTTTTGCAACAGTTTAGATGTTTTTTACCAATGAAATAAAAACCCAGAAACTACTGTTGTAATTGCTTCCATTTAACTCACAAAGTTTTAAGTTCCTTTAATTTCTTATTTGCAGAATTAGCAAATAAAACACATTATTGTTGTGGAAATATAGAAAAAGCATTCTTGTGTGCATGACTTTTCCCAGGATCAAAGCAAAACTAATTTTTCTCCTAATATGCTTAAGTTGCTTGTTTGTCGAGTGGTGTTGTCTAATAATTGTAGCAACTTTGAATCCAAAAGTTTGAACGTGAATAGTATAAACAACAGGAAAAAAATGACCTTCTCTATTAAGATAGTCCCTTCTTAAATTTGAGAGTCCAAATAAAATGAAAAAATATAAATTTGAAATGAATTATTATAAATTTTTAGAATATTTTAATTATTTAAACTTAAATTTTATTAAAACTTTTGTTGTTTTGGAGGAATCTTGGAGAACTTTTGGAGAAGTTATTGGCTTAAATAATCCAAATAAATACTGTGTAGAATCTAAATGATATTAAAAAACTATGACCTGATGTCTAAGCATTAGTAAAAGTAACTTCATTTGAATGTTTGTAGGCACTCTCCCAGGATAAATAATTTTTTCTGATATGCATACAAGATTTTTAGAAAAAAATGTTTTGTGATTTGGTGTACACTGTTGTGGTGTTTTAACAAAGTGGAGGTCTGTAAAATGATAATTTGTTAATTAAAATTTCTTATATGTATTTGTAAATAAAAAAAAATATCTTTTATTTAAAATCGTAATCTAGATTCTTATCTCTGTCTCTAAATTTTAAATCTTTTCTATCATGAGACAAAAATTATATATCATTGATATAAAATCACCTCTAACTTTAATCTTTTTTTTTTTTATAAAACATAACGTTTAAGCTGAGCTTTATAAAAGATGCTGGTCCCAACTTTTTTTAAAAAAAATTTAGCTCAAAGGTAAAAATTAAGCCCAGTTAAAGATTATGGGCACATTTTTTTATTGAGTTGATTAATAGTGGTAGAAGTTTCCAACATCCATTGAAAAGTACCTGGAGACCCTATAACTGTCTTTATTATATATTAAATGTTTGCATATATTAAATGTTTATCTGCATGTATTAAATATTTTTAGGATATATATAAGTCATAAAATATTATGAAGCATATGAAAGATTATTTGAAAATAAGTTAATAATAGTCATAATATTGTCAGGACAACATTTATGTGCTATATAACCACATATATTAAAGTGCTTAACTAATTTTTTGTGAATAGACTTTTTCTTTTTTTCTTTTTCAAATAATTTTTAAGCATTTAGTTTATCATTTATTAAGTTTTATTCTTAATCCCATAATTAAAAATAAAATCCACACTTTTCAGGCCACCAGTTAACAGGAAAATCTTCAGTTGAAATATACAGACAAGTTTTGCTAGCTGGATGTCGTTGCATTGAGTTAGATTGCTGGGACGGGCGCACGGAAGAGCAAGAGCCAGTTATTACTCATGGAATGACATTATGTACTGAGGTCCCATTTAAGGTAATGTTTTAATATGTAATTATTCTTTTATTATTTTGTTCTTTAACTAAGAAGACAAATGCAAATATTTAAAAAGTTTAAATATTTTTTATATAAAAAACCTAATTCTATTAATAATACAAAATAGCACAAAATTAATTAAACAATTTGGCGACTTGGCAAAATGTAATCTTATTAAGTTCATTATAAACAACATTAACAGTGTTTACCTTGTTTAATGTATATCAATCAGCCCTATTTATGTTTAGACAAATACCCTTTCTTTGGTTATCATTTTACCTATAATGTCATTTATTGCATTCATATGAGAAAATTAGTTCATATTTGTTTCTCCAGCCTTGTTCCTCAAGACTGGTGTTTCAGAGTTAAAGGGTTGGGGGGGGGGGGGTTGTAACAACAAGGGTTGTTATAGTGGCCTTATTACTAATTGTATTGAACAGATTGAAACATCTTTTTGTGCAGTCTAGCTGTAAGTTCTATCTTATAACATTAGAAAACTAAACAGTTAATCTTCCATTTTTTAATGAATATTCCTAAGAAATATTTTTTTCAACAACACTGTATATTGTTAAACAATGAAGTTTAAAAATATATCTTATATGCTTTAGGTTAATGATTTACTATATAACATTAGTATTAAAATGGTATGAACACTCGCTGTATCTGTGTGTATGTGTTTCGCAAAAAACCCAATTGTTTGCTTTTTTTTTTTTTGTACCCAAAATAATTTTGTTTTTTACTTTTATTTAATTTTTTTTTTATTACTAATAATTCTTATTATTAAGCATAGAAACTAAATTGTGGTTACTTTGATAAGAAATGAGATAAGAAATAATGTTAAGAAATTTGCTTTAATAATGGTAACAATATTATAAAGTTGCTATATTCTAAAATAGTTTTATAAATCAGTTTTTAGTGAAATACAATTACAATAATTGCATGAATTATTTTAAAGTTAAAATTATTAAATTTTATGTTAGCAGCATGAATTTTAGTAGAATTAAATATTTGTTATTAAAACGTGTTTGGATGTTTCTATAATTAATTATTGTGCATTGTATTATTTTTTAAAAAAGGATGTGATTGAAGCGATTAAAGAATCAGCATTTAAAACTTCTGAATATCCAGTCATATTGTCTTTCGAAAATCATTGCAGGTAATTTTTTTATAATTTTTAATAAGTTATTATTGATGGAGATATATTGTATTGTGCAATCTAGACTTTCTCATTAAAATGATTTTTATTTTTTATTATTTATTACTTATTATACTTAATATTACACTTAATTTTAATTATTATTACTATTTTTACTTGAAAATACTGTTATAAAGACACATGCTATCTGCATGAGACTTGCTAAAATAGAGACATTGTTAAGACTATTTGATATGATGATTGTTGTTAAATGTTATCATTGTTGGTTACACTGTTTATAACAAAAAATCAATAATTAGTAATTTATTAGTCAGGTAGCACCATAACTCCTGACTTACAAGAAAACCAGATAAAAAATTAGTAACAAAGTTAATGTTGATAAAATTTGTGTTCTGCATCACAAATGGGTTATTTTGTTATATAAAATTAGTGAAAAATCTAAAGATAAAAAAAGACTTTTTGAATAAATACAGAATTTAGAATTTAAATAAAGTTGAAACATGATGATCATTTTGAGAGAAAAAAATAAATGCTAACACAAAAATAAGATCCTAAAGAATTAAAGAAAGTATACAGGAAAGCATAATGAAAAATTTTGTAATCTGATGAAGTATACAGAAAAACAGAGTGAAGAAGACTAATAAATAAAAGTAGCAGAGCTCATATCCTGTAGTGAAGTAAAATCATCTATTCAGAAGCCTCAAGCTTACTAGTCCTGATATATTGGTAGAGGTACTGAAGGCTTCAGATGATGTGGTTGTTCCTTGAAACTCTTAAAGTTGCATAAAAAATTTGCATAAAAACTTTGCATAAAAATAAAATCCTAAACAGTAAAAAGAAAAGTTGGATAGTAAAGATGGAGGTAGACGCATTACATCTTTTCAAGATAATTTTCAAGATTCAGAACATGACGTGACAACTGTTACATGATAAAGCAGTTGTATGTTATTAAAATAGGTGTACATTAAGTGTGCTAATTTTTTTTTTGAAGAATCATATGCAGATATTTAAATTTTATTATTACTTTTAGTTTTTAGACTTCATAGCTGTAAAACTATTTGTTCTATTATTTTTATGAACTTTGTATTTGTTTATAGAAGTTAATTTTTGTATTCATAATTACAGTGATGTTATATTCTTAGTGCCAAGCAACAAAAGAAAATGGCAAGTTATTGCCTTCAAATCTTTGGAGATCTTCTACTTAATAAAGAATTGGAAGAATGTCCAGTAAGTTAATTATTGTATTAAAAAAAGTATTTTAACATTACAAACCATTTTGTTATAATTCTTTTTTATTTAATATAATTGACTTTGTTTTCAAATAAACAAAAAGTTCAAAACATTTAAAGTTGCTTAAAAGAATATATTCAACTAAATATTTTTTTAAGTAATTTTTTTTTAATCTGCTGGTTATGAGAGATTAATATGTCAGAACTACTAACCTGAAGTGGTTTTTGTGTCAGCAAGCATTTAGTTGATTTTTTTTTTCTTAATATAAAAAATAAATCTGTATTGCTAAATTTGCAATGTTAAATAAGAATGTTACTTACAAATACGAATGCTACTTACAAATAAGAATGCTACTTACAAATAAGAATGTTACTTGCAAGTATTTGAAACATGTGAATTCTTTGAAATCAACATAAAGTATTAAGAATAAAATAAATTGCTAAGAATAAAAGGTTATTGGAGCTGTTTATTTTGGTATAATATATGTTGCAGCGTATATTGTAACATCTTGCAGCAGCAAGTTTCAATTCGAAAATATGTATTTGTGTATATTATAGTAGTATAATCTCCATATTTACATTCATAGCTACGAATAAAGAGGTCATAGGAGGTAGGAGAAGAGAGGTTGAGAGAGAAAATTTGCATCATAATCAGGAGAGAAGTCAAAATTTTTTTATTGCTTTTGAACTTTAAGCATTAGGTAAAAATGAAACTTTTTGGTATCATTTTGAAGATAATCGTATTTTATTTTCAAATTAAATATTTCCTGTTTAAAGTTAAACATGTTAGAAGTAAGTAACCACATAGTGTTTTGATTTTTATAAAAAACTTACTAAATAATGTTAAAGGCTTCCTGTTAAAAAGTACAATTTTAGAAAAATGAAATTTTCAACTTCATAAGATTGCGATGATTAATTCTCATATACAAATATGAGAATGTCATTACAAATATTAATGTCATTACAATTCTCAGATACAAATATAAATCTCATATACAAATATAAATATAAATGACAAATGTATAAGTTCATAATTAGTATTAATAATAAATTACCACTTTTTATAATTCATCTTCATTAGAACTTGAAAGTTCTAATTTTAGTGTTCTGTAAGAAATTGTTTTTTACCATTTGTTTTTTTCTTATTTGTTTTTTACTCTTATTTGTTTTCTTGTTTAAATTTTTGAAAATGAGCAGTTCTTCAAAAGTTACAATTTGGCTCTACAACAACTGGAAGTTATTATTGTAACCCACTACTCAAATAATAAACTGTTAAATCAGTGTCATATCCAAAAAGACATAATAATCTGTAACATGGCAGAATATTATGAAAAGGCTTAGGTGAAAGTATCAATGCCAATTAACATCATTAATGATTTTTCAGCATTTAGTATAATTCTATTTCAAGCAGATTGATAGAAGGACAAAGGTTTTATTTTATCTCAAGCTACCACCATCCCTAATCCTGTGGTGCTCAATGTCAATTCAGTTTGATTAGGTTTTCTTGATTTTTTTTTTTTTTTTAAATTTTTTCACAAGGTAACAATGCTATGATTTAATAAATAAACAAATACACTGTTAGTTCATTCATTACATAGTTGGTCGATTTTGTACTATTAACTGAACTAAATGGATCACTAAATAAATTTAGTGCAGATATAATTATCATATTTATAAAGTTTTATTTTTGCATTACTTTACAGCTTTTTAGTTACTTGGAATATCAGTCTTTTTTTAAAAAAAATTGATATTCATTTGCAATATGGATATTATTTGTATTTATAAAAAATTTAATTTTTCCATTTAGTAAAAATCTTCTCTATTCATCATAGTAAATACTGCCTGCTCAGACCCAAATCCTAATTTAATGTTTGTACTAAAGTACCCATCTGTGGGTGTTTCTTATTATTATGTTTTTTTTATATTTACAGTAATATACTTTGTCAGTTTTTCTTTATAGTTAAACATCATATAAAATTTTATGTTTGCATTTAAAAAGAAAATATTTTTTAGAATGTTGATTTCAAATTTTATTTATTCTTTAAAACCTTTTTTTTTTAATTTTTTTTTAGTTGTTACCAGGAGTTCCTTTACCAAGTCCAAAAATTTAAATTTTTTTTTAATTTTTTTTAGCTGTTACCAGGAGTTCCTTTACCAAGTCCAAAAATTTAAATTTTTTTTTAATTGTTTTTAGCTGTTACCAGGAGTTCCTTTACCAAGTCCAAAAATTTAAATTTTTTTTAAATTTTTTTTAGCTGTTACCAGGAGTTCCTTTACCAAGTCCAAAAATGCTGAAAAGAAAAATCTTGATAAAAAATAAAAAGCGTGACATTAAAGGTATCTGAAATTTTTAAATTTTATATAGTAGCCATAATAATACAACTGTATAAGACCTTATTTTAAGGATGATTCAAGATTTAGAGTAGCATAATTTATTTCAGTTTAAAATTCTATTATTACAAGTTAAATGAAAATCGGTGACATTTCAAACTGTTGCCTATAAGTTCTAATTCTTATTGAATTAACTTAAGTTGTAATTTATTTGCTTTTTCTTGACTATTACATGCATTTTTAACATATATGTATCACAGTTTCAATGCTGTAATTATTCAATAAATTAAAAGATTTAAAAATTTAAAAAAACATATTTTCATGCTTTAGTACCAGTGTCCGAAACAAAAAACTCTAACTTATTTGCTCAATCAATTGATTTAAACATAAGTGGTGTTATGCTTGAAATTTCTAATATGGAAGACATACCTGAAGATGGAGAGTTAAAGGAAGTGGTTCCTAAGTCTGAAGTAGGTAACAATGTTGTTTAAACAAAAGTCATATTTTTTCACTCTTAATATAAATAGATATATTGTTAAACGTATCACATATAGGAAGAAGAGACACCTGAAGTTGAAGCTCAACAAGAGTTATCTGAACTTGTAAATTATTTTCAACCTGTTCACTTTAGAGGATTTGAAAGGGCTGAAAGTTAGTTAATTTAATATTTTGTTATAAGTTTTTTTTAAATTTAAAGAAATAAAAAAGTTTTTTTTTAAATGTATATACCATAAAGTCCCCTAAGTTCAGTCACCTTGTAACTTCGATCATTTAAGAAAAATATAAAAAAAGCATGCGAAACTCAAATTTTAAAAATTTTTAATTTTTGAAAATTAACTACTTTTTTTTATAAAAATTAGTGAAATTTTGAAATACTCTAACTTCAGTCATTCATGGATAAACAATGAACAATTAGCAGAAATATTGTGAAATGTTGATAAGTGTTGTGAATGTAAAAATTACTGGTAACTTTACCTGTAAATTTATCAGTATATTTTGACATTTTTATAATGGATAGACACCATGGTATTTTATTTAAATAAAAAGTTTGTTCATAATTTCAAAATTAACTGACAGCTGTTTGAGTTCTTAAAAAACATCAAGCCTGTGACATTTTTTTTGAAGACAAAATTACAGTTCAATGACAATTATGGATGCGTTGTGAATCCTGTGAATCATGCAATTGGTTGTGTGGATTTTGCAGCTCTACTATGGTCAACGATATGTGCAAGAATTGCTCATTTAAGGCTCATTTAAAGAAAAGCAGTGTTTTTTTGTTAATTGAAAAAACCTTTTTAAATTAATTGAAAAATATATTTTTAATTTTATTAACCAGTGGCGTAGCAAATGTGATAATGACCAAAGTAATAAAATAGTTGACTAATTACAATGCAAATTAAAAAAACTGCTACTTATATTTAAAAAGGCCTTTTTTATGTGGTCTTTCTTGTTTGCTTTGGTGTCCCAAAAAACTTTTTTTTTGAGCTTGGGGTGTCGCCCTTTTTAGTTACTGGTATTACCTGAATTTATATCATAATTTTAATAAAACAACAATTAAAAATTTTTTTCATTATTTGTTGTGTTAAGTTTGTGATACGTTATTAGTATTTATATAGCAGCCGAAATTATAAGATGGTATTGAAAGTTCAGTCAAAGTAGATGTTTTAATATTAATTAAATATTGAGTACTAGTTTTTATTTTTCATTTTTTTTTATTTTTACAATATCAATTATCATTATAATTTTCTGTTGTTTTAGAAAAAAAAATTTAAATATTTATGCGTGATAAATAAATGTTGAAAGCTCAAGTAACCAAACTTATGCGATTTTACGGTATATGTGTAAATATGTGTTTAAATATATATATATATATATATATATATATATATATATATATATATATATATATATATATATATATATATCAGGCCTTGCGATAAAGCGTCGGGCGATGTGAATTTTACGTCGTCCAAGGGCGATTTTGCGTGTAGCTAGGGCTATTTGCGTTGAGCAAAAAAAATTTTGTTTGAGTATATTTAAAGATATTTTTGAGCGAAATTTTAATGAAGTAGTTTACGATTATTTTAACATTTAATAACGTATTTTAAAAACCGCATGCAGTTCATCTAAATGTTTGAATTACAAAAAAAATAAATATGCTCATTAGTTACAAGTAGAAAAAATTCAGATTAAAAAAAAGTTTAAATCTTTTTAAGCTAGCATTTTAATAAAATTAATCAGCAATAGCAAAGTTGTCAAAAAAATTGAACAAAAATACTTTCTTTTAGTTTTAGATTTTTAACTTAAATAATTATTTTACGGGGGTTTGTTAGGTTTTAAAATTATTCCATAGATTTAAAAATATTTATTAACTGTTAGACGAATTTAAAGTATTTAAGAGTAATTTCGAGGAAACATTTTTAAAATTGGTAAGCGCAAACAAAAAAAATAAAAAGATTAATATTAAAACGTATTCTACTTGATTCAATAAAAAAGTACAGTTATTAAAATTTTTGTAAAAAGTTACTCGAAAAAAATTACTTAAATAATAACAATCGCATTTTTGTTAAAAGTTATCGAAACTCAACGAAGCGTGCTCAAGAACAGCTGCTGAAAAATAGAATGTCAATAGTTTTTCGAATAATTTTTGATAATAAT